CCCAGCCTCCCCACAACGCCCTGAGACATCAGCTCAAGAGAAAAACATCAAGGAATATAATCACCCCAAAAACCAGAATCTTCCACTCACAAGTTCACTGAAAGAAAGCCGTTCAGCCGTTTGTTCTTTAGCAAATAGGTGCGTATCAGCGATGAACATAGGTTATATTTTTGACCGATTGATTTTCAGAAAAGATAGGACTCAGAGAGGGGAAATTGTCGAAATTTGTCAAGAAATAATGAGACAACTCAATATGTTCCATATATTCATGGAGTATGAGGCCTACAGTGCAGATTTTTGTTGGAGAAAATTTTCGTGATTTCGAGCACGATGCTTTGAATGGTGAGAAAAACGAAAATTTCAGCTAACTGCTTCTGTAAAAGGAACTGGAACCCATATAAAACAAACAAGTGGAATGCACCTTATGCTGGATGCTACTATAAATCTTCAGCGAATGCAGTCCAGGTAGCGTATGTTTTGAAATTGTTTGAAGGTAGAAGTCGCTTCTGGTGGTGAACGACAATCCGAAACGAAACTGAGGTCGGTGGAAGGTAAGGTCCAACACGCGATGACTGTCATCCATCCTTTTCCCTCACGTGCTGTGATCTGCTCAACAGACCAGCAGACAACATCCAGTCCACACGTGAGAAGCTCGAGAAAATTGGCTTCCGTTTTCCTCAATGCACCAAGAATACCTGGAAGGGGTTCCACCGAGCAAAACAAAAATGATACTGAAAACCGGCAAAGGAGCATCCTCGGTAACACTTTAATAGGCCGGCATCCTATCTAAAAACAAAGCCAACTCTTTGATGAAGAGCATGAGACGGCCATCATGAACTCTTCGGAAGGACAGGAGAAAGCGGACTTCTTGGAACATTCGAAGAGGATTTCTTTTTTGTATGGGTGCCCTCCCAGAGACCAATCCGTCCCCGGACTACCTATCAGAAAACAACAAGGCTCTGCAATCGATGGGTTCGGAAAAAAATGCCGTTCTGCTTTTCTACCCTAAGTAATGCTATGAGCTCAGCTATGCGGGCGGCTGTGCACTAATGTGGTCTAGATGAAATGGTACGGGTGGTTGATATCCCTCTGGCAAACCTCAAACAACAAGTGGTTCAAAACCGCAAAAAAAACCAAAGCCGGTATGATCGTGCCTGGCTGACCCCCCTCTCCCCTCCCCATTGCGTTGTTTGTCCCAATGGGGGGGGGGGGACGGGTGAGTGCACGATTCGAGATTCGATCTACCTGATCGGTGAAAATGTAGTTCGGGGGGGCACCCTATCTAATCGAAGTGGAGTTGCGGAAAGACACTCATATCTAATCAAAGTAGAGTTGCGGGAAGGCACTATATATATTATCATATTTCTCAAGACCATGGCCAACGACCACTACTTCTTGTAACTCTTGTCATATTACTCCTGTCAGGCACCCCCAATCGCGATCACGGATTACAAAGTCTTATATCTCCATAAACCCAAGCAGTTCGCCAGAAAACGCCGTCTAAGTAAAGCATGCGTTCGCAGCTGAAGCCTTCGTTGTGGTGAAGAAATACTGGTGAAAATGTGAGCCAAATCGCGGGTTACCATCTTAACACAATCCTCTATAGAGTTCGGTCTTTCCCTGAACATGCGCAAGCTCAGCATGGATCAGCAGTGAATGGTGTTATCTTTGGCTAATACCACAATGTCTGAATTATAGAAGATGGCGAATCGCAGATGCCAGAAATGGAGCGCCGCTCTCATGTTGGATGAGGATTCCAGCAAGGACGAGCTTCTGATAAACGGTGAGCACACTGCATTCGCACCTCAGCTTGAATGATTTATCAACGAACAAGGAAAGAGACAAATATAACTATTCATGGGACAGATGCTAGGTTTTTCTCATAAAAAATACCGGTAGTATTCGCGGTTCGCGCATTCCAGAAGGAATTCAAAAGCTAGTCCTTTTGAGAAACAAGTGCAGCTAATGATTTTTTAAAGGCAAGCTTCGGAATAAAATGGGTGTGGAAAAGCGTTAGTTATGAAGCTAGAGGTGGGAGAAAAAAGAGAAGGAAAGCAAACGAAACCACCGATTACGCCCCGTACAGAGAC